GGGGAAGATTGCTCTGTCTCCCCCAGGCAGGGGGAGTTACATCTTCCAATAGGCTCCTATAGCTGTTGGCACATTTACTAACCATATTAATAAGGATAATAGGAGTAATAATAGTAGTAAAAAGGTTTAAGTTACTGTTTATTGAGTGTGTCTATGAGCCAGGTGTCATGCTAAGTGGTTTACATGCATTATTTAATGCTCAAAAGAACCCCAGGGGGAGATACTATTATTATCCTCAGTTTACAGATTGTATCAGTGAGGAGTTGAGTTTGCACGCTGAAACCTGTCCATAGTGCTTTAAGTGAATGGAAACTTATTTTGCTCAAATAACAATGGCCTAGGGCTGCTATGGAGACTCCATGGTACCATTCTTAGCATGTAGTTTTTGGTTTTTGTTACTGTGGATACTAGAGGGCTGTCATTTTGCCAGTCCGTGTTCCAGGAGGGAGGAAGGATAAATGACAAAAAGCAAAAGGTGAAGGGCAAAGAGCCTTTCCCTCTTGTGGTTTTTATTAGTCGAGAAGGTATACTTATCCCCTATCTACATCTCTCTGACCAGAATTGTGTAATGTGGCCACCCTTACCTGCCAGGGAGTCTGAGAATTCTCTCTCCCTCTTTTTTTTTTTTTTCCTGGTCTGCCCTGGGTCTTCGTTGCTTCGCAATGGGCTTTCTCTCTAGTAGCAACAAACGTGGAACTACTCTTTATCATAGCGCTTGGGCTTCTCATTGCAGGGGTTTCTCTTGTTTCAGAGCACGGGCTCTAGGTGTTGGGCTTCAGTAGTTACAGCATGTGGGCTCATTAATTGTGGCTTGAGGGCCCTAGAGCTCTGGCTCAGTAGCTGTGGTGTACAGGCTTAGTTGCTCCATGGCATGTGGGATCTTTCCGATCTGGGGATCGAACCTGTGTCTCCTGGACCGGCACGTGGATTCTTAACCACTAGACCACCAGGGAAACCCCTGACTTTTCTTTTTTTCTTTTAAGCTAGGCAGATTTCTGCCCTGAACAAAATTAAGGTTTTGCTAGTAAAGATTAAGAGGAGAATGAAGACTGGGTTGCTACCTGTACTTGTCACATAAATGAAAAAACTGGGCCTTAGAGATGCTAAGGATCTTTTTGTCCAAGATCAGACAGATGGCCATGTCGGATTCAAACCCATGTCTGATGCCAGAGTCCACGATCTTGACCACTATCAGAGATTACTTCCTTAACATGATGCATTGCAATTGTCTTTTTATTTGTTCATCCCTTCTTCCCTGGACTGTGAGCTACTTATTTGTTTTGGTATCCCAGACTCCTGCCCATAGTTTGTTGAATAGATAAATGAATAAATGTTAGGACTTCAGTAGTTTCTACAGCTCAAAATTCTTCCTAGGAAAAAAATTTTAAATTGTCCTCTTTCTAGGTAATGGTTTGTAGTCACCTGTTCGCCAACAGGTAGCTGCAGGTGTATATGGAAGTAATGATCCTGGTCTTTGTGCCCCCATGGGTGCATTTGGCCACTATTTATAGGCTTCTGTTTTCTCCCTCCTTAAATGCTTAATGTGTGTTTACAGAGCAGGGTCCAATTTCTCTTTGTTCTGCCTGGTCATTCAAACATAACCATACCACATTGCTCTACTTCTTAGGGACATGCACACTACTGGAATAACAATAATTTGAGGCACAAGTAGCCCTGATCCCAAATCTTATTTTTTTTCTGGGTCATGGAGCAGCCCAGGAAGGACCTAGCATCATTTAGATTCCAGTATTAAGGTGAGTTGAGAGGGGAAAAGAATTCTTAAGATACCAGTCTAGAACGTAAACTTTTTTTGGAAAATCAAACACTGACATCCCTAGATTAAAAAAAAAAAATTGTTGTTTCATAGGCCATCAGAAAACATCTTGGTTTTCCTTCAAATTCAGAACGCTTGGTTGGACAGGATGAGGCTCCATCTGCTGTGGAGTTGCCTAACTCAGCTCAAGAACAAGCTTGCAGGTACTTGGATTCCCAACACAATGGCCCAACCAGCAGTATGAACAGATGCCTAGGCTCCTCTCTCCAACCCCATGGGTCCCTGCCAGTAGCTTACTATCACTAAACGAATTAGATGATAAATATTTGCCACTTATTAAGCAGTTACTATCTGTTGGGCGCTATGCTAAGTGCTTTACTTTGTCTCATTTAATCCTTAGAACAACACTGTCACTATTATTGTCACCTACAAACAAGGAATTGAAGCCTTGGTGAAAAGACTCAATTTGCCCAACAGTCACTGTACTAAAGGTTGATTTGGGGAGCCTGGTCTGCCCATCTTGATCTCTAGCAGCCTCACAAAGTCACCTTAAGAATTTAAAAAACTCAATGATGGGACTTTCCTTGCAGTCCAGTGGTTAAGACTCCACACTTCCAGTGCAAGGTACATGGGTTTGATCCCTGGTCGGGAACTAAGAGTCCACATACCTTGTAATGCAGCCAAGACAAAAATAAGACAAAATTTAAAAAAACAATGGTAGTGATGCCAGTAGTAGTAAAGAACTTGCCTGCCAATGCAGGAGACATAAGTGATATGGATTTGATCCCTGGGTCAAAAAGATACCCTGGAGGAGGGCATGGGAACCCACTTTTGTATTCTTGCCTGGAGAGTCCCACGGACAGAGGAGTCTGATGGGCTACAGTTCATAGGGTTGCAAAGAGTTGGACACCACTGAAGTGACTTAGCATGCATACAATGGTAGTGATACTGATATATTCCTACTATTTATTGAGTGCTTCTCATAGGTCCATCTGTTCAAAGTTCTTAATGTGTGATAATGATAACTCATTTAAATCCTCACAATAATCCTTTTAGGAAGGTCTTAGGTTTTCAGATGAAGACGTAGAAAGGCTAAGTAGCTTTTACAAAGTACCATGACTTGTGAGTGGCAGAGCTAAAACTTGACTATTTTTATTGGTCTATAACACAGTCTAGTTGAAACAATGTGCCTGCTATGAAAACTCAACTTCAAGATAAGGCCACCAGTCCTCCCTTGCAACCAGTCTGCCATCTATTTAAAAATTCTTAAGTCAAAAAAATAAAAATAAAAGTTCTTAAGTCATCACTGGTTCAGCATCACATGGACAGTAGGTGGTAAAAACTGGATTCAAAGCTGGGTTGGTTTCTGACTTCAAAGAAGGAATCTTTATCACTGCACTGTTCCAGCACTAACTTTTAACTTGGGTTAAACCCCAGTACAAAGGACAAGTCATAGACCTATCTGAAAAGGACTTAGAAATCATCTAACCTGGGGTTTCTCAACCTTAGCACTACGACATTTTGGGCTGGATAACTGTTGTGGGGACTGTCTTGTTCATTGTTCGATGTTGAACAACCCTCCTGGTCTCTATCCACCAGCAGCACTCCCACCCCCACCCCACCCTAGGTGTAACAACCAAAAATATATTCAGATGTTGACAAATGTCCGGGGAGAGTGGGAAAGGGTCAAAATCGTCCCTGGTTTCAAACCACTGATCTGAACTCTCTCCTCATTTTGCAAATAATGGAGCAGGGGTCCAAAGAGATGAAGCAACTGGCTTAAGCTAGTGATGCAACATCACTGTGTCCCTATAATACATAGGGCACAACATGGAACCTGAAGAAATTAGATGCTATCTTAGTCCTTACAGTCTAGTACGAGTGAAAAGCTATTGCACAAATAGCTTTAATTGTACGAAACTGATAAACAAGAAAGTGTTAGGCAGCAAGGTCCAGAGAAAGAGAATATGATCTGGTTTCCTGAGATCTGGATCTGCCAGTTTTTATCTGTGGCGCTTAACCAAGGTTCAGGTTCACCACCAATGAAACAGAGCTCATATATACTCTGCTTATACCACCCCGTCCAAAACGGGTCTGCGAATTCATTGTGCAAACTGTGACGCTCTTACAGACATCAGTTATTAGTAAGATGATCAGAAATGTGATAAAAATTATGATTAAAGGCTTTCAGGACTGGGGAGAGCCCTGCAGCGGTGGCCTCATTCCTGGACCTTCCAACTCGAGAGCCCCATTCTTTTGCGGGAGAGGGACCAAGTAAAGAGCTCCCTCCTTCAGAGCACCTCTTCCCTTGCCTGGAACCGACCAGGTCAGATGGGCGAATTCGCGGTACAACTCCGAACAAGGAGTCCCGCCAGAGGGAGTTACTACGCTGCCCTCCGGCCACTCAAGCTCCGCCCGTTCTAGGTTGTGGCCCCGCCCTCAGGGAACAGACTCCGCCACCTCCGCCCTGGAACTCCAGAGGCGCGGTGTCTCCAGGACAATCCCTCGCCCGAGCCGGAGTTTCCCGAACTCCCTCGATCTCCACCCGGCCTCCCTCGGCCTCCGGGAGCGGAGGCGGCGGAGATTGCCGAGGGGCGCTGGCCCCGCCCCCTCCGCGGGCTCGGCCGCCACCATCCCCTCTCCCCAGGCACCCCGGCCTCCCGCGCGGGCTGGAGTCCCAGATCCCGGGCCCTCCCTCCTCCTTTCTCTCTCCCCGCCTTCCCGGTGCTGCCACAGTGGCGGGTCGGAGGATCTCGGCCAGTCAGCTCGTTCCGGCCTCCAGCCCCTCCTCCCCCCAAATAAACACCCCTCCCCAAGCCTCAGGAGCCCGGACCGCCCCCTTCCTCCCTCTGCCCGGCGTGTGGCGAGGGCCAGTGTGAGGGAGTGAGCGCGGACCGGCGGGCCAGCTTCGTGAGTGAGCGAGGCGGGGCGCGCAGCGGGCCGGGCCGGGGGTCGCGTGTGCGCGTGGGGGCGCGAGCGAGTGCCCGTCGCGACCCGCCGGCGGCCCCGAGCCAGGGAGCCGGCCAGCGAGAAAACAGAGGCTACCGCCCGCCGCCGCCGCGGAGGGGGGCAGCGGGCCCGCGCGCGCGCGCGCGCGCACGTACGCACGCACGCGGGGGCGGGTGCAGGCGCGCGCCCGCCTGTCGCGACAGTCGGGGCCGAGGCCCAGGGGGAGGTGGCCTGTCGCGGGTCGCCCGGCTCCCGGAGGCGAGGGGGCCTCGGGCGGATGGCGGAAGGCGCCCAGCCGCAGCAGCCGCCTCAGCTTGGGCCCGGCGCCGCTGCCCGGGGGATGAAGCGGGAGTCAGAGCTGGAGCTGCCGGTGCCCGGAGGGGGAGGAGACGGAGCCGAGCCCGGCCTGAGCAAGCGGCCGCGTACCGAGGAGGCGGCGGCCGACGGCGGCGGGATGCAGGTGACCGCGCGGGGCTGGCGCCCAGTTACCGTGGCGGGGCGGGGTGGGGTGGGGGGGCGGCGGGAGCGGCGCGGGGCTGCGGGGCTTGGAGGGCGGAGGGCTGCCCGGGATCCCGGCTTGGAGGTGGGAGGGGACCGGTCGGGGCCTGCGTGGAGGGTGGGGCGAGCCCCGACTTGGAAGCTAAGGGTGCAGGAGGAGCCTGGTGTGCCCTGGAGGGTCCTGATCTCTGAGGGGACGAGGGGGGCACGTAGCACGAATAGGTGTTGAGAGAGGAAATCGAACGTGCTTGAGATGGATTCCATTTCTTTACACCCTTCTTTAGTTCCTTGGCGGGGAGTGAAGCCGAGAGATCCTGGTCCGTTGCCCAGAGAGCTGGGGACCGAATCGAAGACTGAGGGGGGGCGGGGGGAGGGAGGGACAGTGGTGGGACACCTCCCCAAAAGAGGGAGTACCGTTTTTGGCAGCCCTGGACACACAACTGGGATGGAGAACGGGATCGGCATAGAAGGGAGGAGTGAAAAGCGAGAAAACTCCTCGAGAGCCCAAAGGGGATGTGGCTTAGGTTGTGGGTTAAATCAGTTACACGAGGAGTGTGAGAAGTACCAGAGGTTGGGTAGCGTTGTGGCTACACCGTGGTGCTCAAGCTCGTTAGCTTCGTGGAGCATCTGGTGAGCCTGGAGACACAGGACCTGGCCAGTTGTATCTTAGGACACTGACTAGATCTTTATTGTTCTGGAATATAAAAGAAAATTTATAGGACTTTTAGAAGATTGAATTCTGAATTGTGGACTCAAGGAGAAGCTGGTTGGTTTGGAAAGGGACTGGCAAATGTAGTGACCATGTCAGTTGACTTTGTAGTTGGGGGAAGAGCCTGAAGCCTTCCTTGATTTGATTTTAGATTTGGTCTCTGTTCAGAACATACTTGCTGTGAAATGGTGGGTTTACCTACCAGCAGTCTGCCCAATTCTCTTAGCATCATAGAATGTTAGAGAATCAACCAGAGATACCATCTTTGCCTGGAGTTCTTAACTTGGAGAGACTTGGAAGATTCTTCTGCAGAATAGTTTATGGGTACTCTCTGGTGAGAGAGAGTCAATAGTTTTCATCTTTTCTATTCGAGTCCCAAAATGTTTCAACCTCATTAGGTAGATGAATCAAAAAATCTGGAGCAGACTAGTGACTTGCCTAGGGCCACCCAGTTAGCTGGTAGTGAAACTGGAGCTAGATGCCTGGACTTCTGATTCCTACTCCTGTGCTCTCTCCATTACAGCACTCTTGGAAATCTCTGCAGTGCTAAAAGACTTCCTGTGCTCTGCTCTCGCTGCTTTTCAAGGCTCTGTCTGACTTCCTGTGTTAGAGACGGAGCTGTATTTAAGCCTGGCGTGTTTGCTCTGTGCTTCTTGGTCTCCCTTGCAGCGGCCAGTCTGTTACTTGTGTTGACTTGGGTAAAGTGACCCTCCTGGTGTTTATTTTTGAATTCTTTGGTTTAACTTGCCTGCTTTTGTTCTCCATTTGAACTCCCTCTGGCAGGAGGCTTGTACGAAGTAAACGCCCCGGGCCTTGGAAAAAATATAGAGGAATATAGGGAGACTTCAGGTGATCTGGTTTGACACTGGAAGATGAGAGAAGATTGGGTTTGGGTGCTGGTGAGCATGTCCGCTTGGTGTGTGCATATATCTGTGTCCATTTATTGTTTCTGTCAATCACAGTTAATAGTGAGTCTCCTACTGCCATCCCCCTCTTTCCTCCTGGGGCCCATTATTTGCTGGTTGCCTTCAAATCGGCTGAGGATAGCAGTATTTGGAAATGGAGCAGTGGATAGGGGCTTTGGAATATGAAGAGGAAGCTGTGGATTAGGTCCTCTGGGTACAGATGGGCACCTTAGAACTATCCCACAGAGAATGCTTTTTTCACTCTGTGGATCTGTGGATCTTTATTTATTTTTCACTTTATGCATTCTCTTTGTTGTAGTACCAATACACCATGTCACACAGGTATTCACGTCATCATTGACTTAGCCCCCTGCCCGCAACAATCTGCATGGTTCTGGGAAAATCCCTTCTTTGGGGGCCTCTAGAGAGGTCTGGCGTGCTGTGATTCATGGGGTCGCAAACAGTCGGACACGACTGAGCGACTGAACTGATTACCATAGTTGTAAAATACAGTGTTTGTAAAGGATGATTTATAAGTTACCTCTAAAAAGATAGAGAAAGTTCCTTGACTTTAAAGAACTTGGTGTCTGCAATCTAGGTAGGGAGCCAGAATGGGTGAAAAGTTGGAAAAAAAAAAGTGTGTGTATGTATATGTGTCATATATATATATGTATGTATATTCTGTATGTGTATATATATATATATATATACATATATATATATATATGACTTTTTTGGTAAGTTCCAGAGGAACAAGAGTAGGCATGCCACAAGGCAGATTCTTGTCACAGGCTTTGCAAACTTTAAGACCAAAGTATGCTGAGGATTCGTGCCATTGGAGCCAGAAGCAAAAGATGTTTGTTCTTGCTGAAATGGTCAAGGAAGGCATTATGGAGAAGTTGAAATTTGAGGTCTAATTGGGAGTAAAGGAAAAGTAATGTTCATGAAAAGATGAAATTTAAGCCTAGGTCACCTACATTTCTAGGACCTTCCTATCATTCTGATAATTATGATAGGATATTTAATATTCATTTAACTGATGTTTATTGAGCAGCTGCTAAGTGCCAGGCCCTGTTTTAGAGCCTAGGAAATATAGTAGTAAACAAAACAAAGACTCCGCTCTCATGGAACTAAGATTCTAATTGAAAGAGACAGACAATAAAGAAATCCACTATTATTGGGTGGTTTTAAGTGCTAAGAAGAAAAATGAAGCAGGGAAAGGCGGAAGAGTGGTGAAGAGGATGGTTAGGGAAGGCCTCTGTGTGGGTGACCTTTGGGTGACCTGGGGGAATTTGACGGAAGGGGGTTCAGACAGAGGAACTGTGGGTGCAGAGGCACTGAGAGAGTACGCTTGATGTGTTTGAGAACAAGAGACCAGTGGAGCTGGAGGAGAATGCAGGGGCGAAACAGGTTTAGGAAGTGATAATCAGTGGTGTAGACATGTCTACAGGTTCATGTAAATAGACATTTAAAAATTCTAGAGTAGCTTGCTTTTTGGTATATGGGTTTGTCTTGAAGCACTTGTTTTTTTTTTTTCTTATATCTTAGCACAAATGGCATTTCTTGTAGGTCATAGCTCCTTTTGGGAAGCCTTCCCTCCTGACAGCTTAATTCTAACCAGTCAGACCCACCTCTTGCCTCCTGTTGTATTGGTGGTTAATTATGCATCATCTTGTATTGTCTTCTCATTGTTTTATTCCTGTTTCCTTAGTGATACTGTAAGCTTGTAGAAGCCACGAACTATACTTTCTTTGTGTTTATCCTTTATAATACCTCACAGTTTTGAGTACATAGTAAGTGCTCATTGCCTGTTAAACTGAAGTTGAAATTTTGCCTTTTTAAAATAATTAAGGGATAGAAAAAAATACCATGAAATTTAGGGGTGAGAGTACTTTCAGGAAATATCCTAACCTTTTGAGTGTCAAAGGATTAACCCATTTTCTAACAGAAGTCATTTGCTGGGGTTAATTTCCCAAGACCACAGACTAAATGGAGATACAGCTCTAAGCTGCAGATTCCAAGGCTGAACCCTGATAAGTTATAGTCACTGAGCTTTTCGCGATAAATCATTACTTCCCAAAATGGAGCACTGGGGACATGAGAGAGTCTGTGGTGCTTATGTTATGATCCTTGTGCTAAGAAGGACCCCTGGGGTGGGGGGAAGAGGGAGGGTCGCTCGTTTCTAGGCCAGTATCCAGAAGCTCTATGTGGGTGGCAGAGGAGTCGGCACAGCCCTAGAAACAGTTTAGAGAACCCTCAACTGCAGAGTAGGAGGGAAGAGACAAATTCCACCTGAAAATTGAAACACAGCTTGAGAAATAGAGTGACTTGTTAAAGAGGGTATTTGGAAATAATGTACTCTAACCTGGTAGAAAGTTAAGTGAGTTATTAGAGATTTGTTTCACTTTAAGCAAGTCTGATATGTGTGAAAAACTGGGGCCTTATGAAACATACCAGGGAATGAATTCTTTTGGTTAGCTCCTCTAGTGAATATAAACAATTTGATGAGCAAAAATTCAGATTTTTGTGCAGCTTTCTAGGAACTTAGAAAGTTCACCTCCATAAAGCAAGGTGCACCTTAATTATTATTTATAGCTTTCAGCAACATTCTTTATGATAATGAAATGTCAGAATGTGGTTATTACATGGCTAACTGACTGCTTCTGACCATAGAATCATAAGTCTAGTATAGCTAAGTGAGTTCAGAAGTTGTTCATGTTAGTGTTTGATTCTAGCAGTAGGAGGACTTTCTGGTCTCAGGGAAGGGTTTGCAGGTAGCCTGTAATTGCTTTGTAGATACTGCATTTCTTAGTTTATCTTTCAATTGCTCGTTTCTGGGTTTCTTTCCTCGTAGGTGGAAGTCTCTTTGGACTTTGAGTGTCTGGTGCTGAAACTGAACATGGGTGCTACCATTTGAGTAGACTTACCAATATGCTTTCTTTCCAAGTGATTTTGTGAAGAGTCTTTCACTAAAATTACTGGATTTTTCATTTCTGCATGTCTTAGTCTGCTGAAGCAGACTGCAGACTGGGTGGCTTAAACAACAGGAATTTGTTTCTCACAGTTCTTGGGGCTGGAGGTTCAAGATGAAGGTGCTGGCAGATTTGGTGTCTGATGAGGGCTCTCTTCCTGGCTTACAGACAGCTGCCTTCTTGCTGTGTGCTCACATGGCCTTTTCTCCATGTATGCTAGTGGACACACAGAGAGAGAGAGAGAGAGAGAGAGAGAGAGAATCTCCTTTTCATAAGGGCTCCCATCATGGGATGCAGTGGTGGTGTTGGGATCCTCCCCTTATGACCTAATCGCCTCCCAATGGCCCCTCCTCCAATTACCATCAGATTGTGGGCT